GTGAGTTTTGGGGTCCCGGGATGTCACAGCAGGGCCCAGGTGAGTTTTGGGGTCCCGGGATGTCACAGGAAGGCCCAGGTGAGTTTTGGGGTCCCGGGATGTCCCAGGAAGGCCCAGGTGAGTTTTGGGGTCCCGGGATGTCACAGGAAGGCCCAGGTGAGTTTTGGGGTCCCCAGGTGATCCTGGGGTCACTCACCATCATGTGCAGGTCCCGGCAGCACTCGGCCAACCCGAACCCGTTCTCCTTCCCACCCCAACTCTGCAGGGAAATAACCCGGCTCAGCACCAGGGACCCCCCAGGTCCCCCCCACCTCAGCCAGGTGCTGCAGCCAGGTGAGCAGGGACCCCCCCTCCCCCGAGGACCCCCCCAAGCCCCTGCAGGACCCCTGCCCACCTCAGCCAGGTGCTGCAGCCGGGCGAGCAGGGGCCCCCTGCGCTCGGAGCCCAGGCGGGTGATGTAGTTGGAGCGTTTGCTGAACACGTAGAGCAGGTTGAGCACGGCCAGGACCACGTGCATGTCCGAGGAGGCCAGCAGGGTGGTCAGGTGCTGAGGTGGGACAGGGGAGGTCAGGGGGGGCTACAGAGACCCCCCGAACACGGTGGGGCACAGACGGGGGGGTTACGCAGCTCCCGACACCCCCGGGACCACGCGCATGTCCGAGGAGGGCAGCGGGGTGCTCGGGTGCTGGGGGGGTCAGGGACAGTCAGGGATGGGGATGGGGGGGTTACACAGACCCCCAGGACCCCCAGACTGCGCTCAGGTGCTGCGGGGGCGTGTCGGGTCAGGAGTAAGGACGGGGGGGTCACACAGCCCCGTTCCCCGGGACGTGGCGCGTCGGGCCCAGAGGGGGGTCGTGCCCAGCCCCCCGTTCCAGGGTTTTTGGGGTGCCCCCACCTCGATGGAGCTGTAGAGGTGCCTGGAGAAGCTGTACTCGATGAGCAGGGCGGTGAAGTTGAGCAGGGCCAGCAGCAGGGCCTTCAGGGGCTGCCGCTCGGGCCGGTCGCAGCTCAGCATCCAGCTCATGGTGTCCACCGGCCGCCCCGCCTCGGCCAGCAGCGCGTCGAACCGGTCCAGCAGGTCCACCCAGTGGTACAGCTCGCACTGGGGGGGCACACACACGCATTGGGGGGTCACAGCACGGACCGGGGGGTTACACAGCCCCCCAGGAACCCCCACAGCCACGGGGGGACACCCCGACCCAGCCCGGCAGCGCACGGAACCCGCCCAGCAGGTCCAGCCAGGGCACAGCTCACACTGGGGGGGGAAACACAACCTGGGGGGGCAAAAAACCCCCCAAGAAACCCCAAAAAAGGAAGGGAAAACCCAAGCCGGCCCTGGCCAACAAAACAAGGAAACGGGCCAACAAAAGCCCCCCCCGGGAACGGGAAAACGAATGAAGGGAAAAAAAAAAACGGGGGAAAAAAACCCCCCACGAACCCCCAAAGGTGGGAGATGGTGAGACAGAACAACAGCTGGGGGGGCACAGCATGGCCCCCACGACTCCCCAGCCTGGCTCCCAGCCCCCCAAGAACCCCCCCATTCCAGGGACCCCCAGCCCACACTCCACCCCGCATCCCACCCCCAATTTTGGGGGCTAGGAAGGATCTGTGGTTCCCCCCCAGGGGTTTGGGGCACGAGGGTCCTCCCCAACATCTCTGTAGCTCCCCCAGGGCTGGGGGGCTGCACGGATATTGGGGGGCCCCCCAGAGTTCTGGGGCTCTGTGAGGGAAAAAGTTTGGAACCACAACAGCCCCAGGACAGGGGGAAATTTGTGGGGGTGGGAATTCCCCTTTGGGGGGATGGGAACACATTGGGGGATCCCCTTGGTGTCATGGGGGGCCCGTTTAGGGGGGGATCTGTGAACCTGGGAGCCCACCCTGAGCTCTGCAAGCAAAAGAGTTCACAGCCCCCAAGGCCCAAGCGGGAAGAAATGGGGGGCTCCTTTGGGGGGCCTGAGGGGAAACCGGGGGATCCCTAATTTTGGAGACAGAGAAGTGAAAAAACAGGATGTCCCCCCACCATTTAACAAAACAACTACAAAAAATTTGGGGTGACCCCCCCTAATTCAGGTCTCTGAAGAGAGATCAGACCTGGCCCACCCTGGGGTCTCTGTGGAGTTTTGGGGGCTCAGCCAAAGTCAGGCACATTCTTCATTGGAAGAGCATTTTGGGGGGTCCCTCCCATTGTGGGGGTGCTGCAGGGGAAGTGTGGGGGGCTCCCTGTGCTGGGGGGAGTCTCCAGGGACCCTTCCCCTCAGCAGCAAGGAGTAACTTCAACCCAAACCCGACACCACCACAAGAACTTTCGGACAATCCCTGAGGAATTCTGGGCCCCCCCAGGTTTTTGAGCCCCCCCCCCCGATTTTGGGGCCCCTCAGCCCACCTTGCCGATGTTCCATGTCTTGATCTGCTGCAGCTCCGTCACCAGCTGCTCGTCCGTGCAGCCCTTGAGCTTCTCGATGAGGGCCCTGCAGTCGGCGGGCTGGGGGGGGGCACGGTCAGCAGGGACCCCCCAAGAGACCCCCCACCTCCAAAACACCTCTGTCACGCAGGGACCCCCCAA